CTTTCTCACTTGGCTTTTGCGCGAGTAGAGTGATCATCTAATTAAGCTTACAGCAGACATCAGGGGCCTGTTTCTTAAAAAAACTTAAGTAGAAAATCTTACTTAAGTCAAACTTAAGTCCAAAAAAAGTCTTTGTCTTTTTTGACTTAAGTAAGATTTTCTACTTAAGTTTTTTTAAGAAACAGGCCCCAGGACTGTAGACCTGCACAACATTCGAAATATACATTTGTCTCTAATCTGCTTGAAAACTATTAGCAGACGAAAATAGTCATTTTTCTCACTAGCAACCATTAGTATTGATCCTGCTATCCTAAATAAGCGAGACAATTCTTGGGTACTGTTGTTTGATGTCCTTTTGAAAACATTCTGCGTGTTCAAGTACAAAGCATAATCATTCATAGGAAACAAAATTCTTATACACATTACAGCAGTATAACTAATCCAACCCATTCCTATCGATATACTACAGAGCTGGACAAGTCACAACTCAAGTCAAGTCAAGTAGAGGTGAGAAAATTTTTTCTTCCAAGTCAAGTCTGGTTAAAAAATAGGCAGAACATAAAATTTGCTAGCGTCTTTTGGATGAGAGACAGTTTCAGAAACTCTGTTTCATGGTAAATAATGCCTAATTTCAACGAAAATCTCTTACTAGATTATGATTTGACAAGTTTTTCAAGTCCACTCACAGTCACGAAAAAAAATCTCTCAATTCAAATCACACTTCAAATCACACTCAAAGTTTTTCGACCAACTTGACTTGGACTTGAGGCATTTTTGACCTGACTTGCCTAGCTCTGATATACTATCGTTTAGTCTGAGCAATTTTCATGCTAGATATAAACAAAAATTAGGAGAATCATCCATTAAAGAACAATATTACAGAAAGTGATTAATAATAATTCAGTGGCAGAAACTTAAACGGAATAATGGAGGTATATTAACTGAATAACAAACACCACATTTCCATTATTATTCCGAAAAGTTGACGAGAAATCACACAAGAGAGACAGTTATTGCTGACGAGAGAAAATAGTAAATACATTTATATATTATTATTCAAGGCCAACAAGCTAAGAAGAAAATCCATAATTTCTACTCTTTTCTATTTCACTAAAAACACATGACCAATCAGATACAAGTTTTACTATAATGTTATTGCATTACATCCTGAATTCGAAAGAGATTATCAATGATTCAAACTGCTATCAAACATCTATCATTCTTAGTAGTGCAATTTCGATCTGCATAGGTATGGTAGCGGATGATTGTCATAATATTCAACTTACAACTGTCGAGGTAGTATCCTAGTTACGTAGTGACGAGCAAGAAAGTTATGAATAATTCAACTCTGTTAACTAGAAAAGTATATATATCATCGACAGAAAAATAAAATTCATTTAGAGAATCCGTACATTCGTTAACTCGAAAAGTTTTCTATTTTTGATTAAGGATATGGCCAAAAGTTTAAGAAAAATATTGGAATATTATTTTACGATGGAAAACGTTTTTCGCCATTTTGTTCGAAAAATCTTCCAAACTTTTCACAATACCTCTCTCGCCAAAAATAGTCAGCCAATCTTCTGAATTATCGAAGTTGCTGAATACGAAAAAGTACTTTTCCGCGACTCTACATAAACTTTTCTTTATTTTCTCGTTATGTTGATATGAGGAGAAATACCCGCAGATTTAAGACGACGAAATATGCATGAAAAAGATGAAATATCAGTACTTTAAAATTAAAACTTACGCATTTCGTATTGCTGTTAACTTTTTTGTACTATAAAACTTTACGACTGCTTAGTTAGTTTATTCCTAAAAAAAGTCAGATTCTTCATTTGAAAAATCTACGCTACGGAAAAAAAAGAACTTTTAAGCATCTGTGATGCATCCGTTCGATGCTGATTGTACACAGTTAATATATTTTCTTAAAAATCCATGTTCTGCTCTTGGTTTTGGTGGTTTCCACTTTGACCGACGTTCAACTAGTTCTTCATCACTGACATGAACTATCAGCGTTCCTCCAGAGCCACCAGCATTATTTGGTTTTAAAATAATTGATATTTGATCACCTGTCTCTACAAGAGCAATATTACCACCAACGGCAGCTTCTGGACTTACATGTCCAACGATGAATCCATGAGAAGCACCGCTAAATCGACCATCTGTAACCAACGCACAATCTTTACCTAATCCAGCACCCATCAATAGTCCCGTGGGTTTTAGCATTTCTGGCATACCTGGACCACCTCGCGGACCCTCATACCGAATAACAATGACACTTTTTTCACCTTTCTTTATTTGTCCATTTTTCAATCCTTCTAACATTTCTTCTTCACTATCATAAACCAAAGCGTTTCCTTCAAAAGATGTTCCTTCTTTGCCGGTTATTTTTGCCACAGCGCCATCAACCGCTAAGTTTCCTCGCAAAATCTGTAAATGTCCGGATGATTTGATAGGTTTTTCAAATGGATGAATTAAATCTTGATTGCCAGGTCCTAAGCCTTTCTTAACATTTGATTTTATACCCTCAACAAAGCCTAATTCCCGACACGAGGCTAAATTTTCGGCTAATGTTTTGCCAGTGACAGTGATTATATCACCATGAATTTTACCTGGATAAAGAAGAAAAATATAAAAGTCATATTACACCCCATATATATTACACTCTTACCTTGAGCTAACAAATACTTGAGTACAGCAGGTGTCCCTCCCACGGAATGCAAATCGGCCATCAAATACTTCCCAGATGGTTTAAGATCGGCAATGTACGGTGTCGCATTACTCATACGTTGGAAATCTTCTAGTTTAATTTCGACCTTTGCTGCATGACCCATTGCTATCAGATGCAAAACAGAATTTGTTGAACCACCCAAGGCCATTATCTATGAATACGTAGTCAATAGACTAAAAGTGAAAGAATAGTTTTTGTTCTTACAATTGACATTCCATTTTCAAATGCTTTTTTGGTCATTATATCTCTTGGCTTAATATCATTTTCTAATAAATTTTTTAGTGCATACGGTGCTCTTTTACATTCTTCAATTTTCAGTGGATCAGTGGCTGGCGTAGATGAGCTGTAGGGTAATGTAAGTCCCATGGCTTCGATTGCACAGGCCATTGTATTTGCTGTATACATTCCACCGCATGCTCCTGCACCCGGACAAGCATGTCTAACAATATCTTTTCGTTCAATGTCACTAATTTCACCTTTCAAATATTGAGCATAAGCAGGAAATGTACATTCGATATCAACGATCTGTTCGGGATGACATTCGGAATAACCTGGCTGTATAGTACCACCATAGATCATAAGAGACGGGCGATTCAACCGTGCCATAGCCATTACACAGCCGGGCATGTTTTTGTCGCAACCAGGCACCGTGATACAACCATCCAGGTAATGTGCACCCATCACAGTTTCTATACTATCTGCAATGAGATCGCGTGACGGTAACGAATAACTCATGCCATCAGTTCCCATGCTGATCGCATCGCTAACCCCAATGGTATTAAACTGAAATCCAATCAGGTCAGGTATCGTCTGCATGCTCGATTTCACATGACCAGCTAATTGATTTAAATGCATATTACATGGATTACCTACAAAAATAATAAATAAGTAAAAGTTTTTCATTCTGATAATAAATTAGAAACCCTTACCTTCATACCACATGGCTACAATGCCAATTTGTGCTGAATTCAAATCGGCCTCCGTTAAACCGACGCCATGTAACATTGCTTGACCTGCACCTTGACTTTCATCTTGAGTTATCCTTGAACTATACTTGTTTAACCGTCTTCTCTCGTGGCTAGAGTCCGACTTCGCCGCAGAAAGCGGTTGATTTGTTGTTGCAAAAGATTGTTGCATTATATTTGCATCTATAACTAGTGAGACTGGAATTATACCGAAGTTGATAGATACCTGCTTCAAATAGGCATGAAATTTTTTTTTTAAATACTTTTTTGTACTTAGATAAGAACGTTATTTCTTACTATTCTTATCTTGTATAAAGTTAAACGTCGGTATATATACATTTCTTAATATTAAAAGAAAAGACGTCTAAAGATGATCGACCCTTCGCCTCAACATTGATAATGATTATTATAGACTATTTTTTTATTCTACAATTTCCTTGAATTGCTTATTTACATAAATCATTTTCGATTCATCATTGTTTAGTTAATAGAAAAGAGCAACACTAATTTACAATCACTTTTTTTTGCTTTGCTGAAGAACTTATCGTAAAAAGGATCCTGGCAATGTTTTTCCTCAAAAAATAGCAATAGCAAAAACAAAGAGCATGCAAAATCATAAGTTTTCAGACAACTAGGTCAAGGAGAACTTTTCTAATAAATAAAATATATTTACACTTATTTACCTGTCAATTAGTGTCATGTGAGACAAAAAAATTTCTTGTTTCGAACATATTTGCTTCATCAGAAAAAAATATGACTTTTCCCATCTGCATCTTTGTTCTTTGATCTTCTTAAGAGCGAATTTTTAAAAATAATTTATGATTATATTTTTGTACCCTGAAATAAAAATGTATAAAATTGTCCTTAATCTCAATAAACAAAGATAAGCAAAACCGATATACTTCGACTGAGGACTATAGTCTTCTCTTTATAATGGTTGTTTATTGAAATCAAGAACGGAAAAATTCAAGTTTCTAGTTGAACAACTGACATTTTCGAAAAATTTATTTATCATAGTGTATTCAAACTTGAAAACTTGTCTCATTTTCCAAAATGTGCAAAACAAATTACAGGTTCGGAACAGCTTTTATCTTCAGGTGTCTCCAGGTCATCTATCGCGTTCGATGCTGCAGGTGGAATGAAATTTGGTCTCTCTGACAAGACACGACTGCCATCCGCTATTGTCCAGGTAAATTCCCTTTTGAAAGGAGTAACGTTCTAATCTAACCTCTCTTTCGAGGTCAAGGTTTAAATTAGACTGCTGAGTATCAATACTGTAACCTTCTTTTAGACTAGAAAATAAGTGTACATTATATAAGAGGCCGCAATAATTAATTATAAATCGGCTCTAATTCCAAATTCTGGTTCTTTTGATTCTTCTCTTAAAGATATTACTTCCCGAAAGGCTTAGCGGCATATCTTCGTCCGTTTCTTCGTCCTGCTTTTTGCCTTGTTTTGGCTCATCTAAAATCTGTTCAATATATTGTTCCATTAAATCTTCGTAGTGATCATTATTGATGGATAACATTGGACCGGTGACCCACACTTTCAAACATTTCGCTTCTGACAACCTATCTTTTGTTATTTATCCTACATGAATGCCTAATTTTCGTTTAATACAGTTCAATAAAAAAATCATTTGAATACGAAGGCTATTTACCAATTGGATAACGATTAAATGTTGATAATCTATAATAAATAACCAGAATTGAACATGTATTGTTTTCTTCCGATAGATCTGCAACACAATTTCTTATAACAGCAACCATACAGAACAGATATTGAATATCGTTATTTACTTTACTTGTTGTACTTATAGTTATCAAAATAAAGTTTATAGGAAAAACCTTAGAAAGAAATTTATTTCTCTACGTATACGTCATAGACTCCCATTCTGGCATATTTAATATTTCTGCTATGGCTATCAATGATAACTATTCATGATGTCGTTAAGCTAAGTCGAGTAATGGTATGACGATGGCGGATTGGTGTCCTTTGATCTAAAAATACAGGAAAACAATAGACGGTAGTTGCTTTAAAAAATTTCAGACTTTTTACCAAAATGAAACTAAAGCATTCTTGGATTGGACACTTCCTCTTACAGATTATAAAACTTCAGTATTTCAATTTGTAGCGAGCGCGGTCATCTTTGTTTTCCTACTACTGCCAAACACAAGAAAAAAAACCGCAAACAAAACTTTATTCAAGTACGGAATTGAATAAAGTTCGATTATTCTATTGAACAGACTACTGAAATTTGACATAAAGATATTTAATAATAAGCCATAGCAGTATTGAGTATCTTTCTGAAAATGATCTCCATCATCTAAAAAGAGATACAGAAAACAAATATACGAGTCAGAAAATTAGACTCAAACAATTTTATAAAGAATATTCTCACATGCAATGATTCCTTCTCCAGCACGATCAATTAGTGTCACGTCGCATTGAAGGTAATGCCATTAAATCTTGGTTTGACAACAGCCTAAAAATCATCTTTACTTTTGCATTGCATTTATTCCCACATCTGATAATAATAACTCCAGCTTTTTCAGCATGCACTTCTCTCTCTGAATCTCTTATTTTCTAGTCCGTCAAAATTTTCTAGTGTTTTGTTAAAAAGAAAACATATGTGCACACACACTGTGCATTAATGAAAAGAAAATATTAAACCATTTGTTCACAACACACTTGAAAAAGTCTACTAGTTCTTGTTTGTCAAAACAAGTAAAAGAAATAAAGCGGGAGGAAAGTTGATTATCTGTAGGCAAAAAGAACAGGAAAACTGAACTGTTTGTTGTTTGACTTGTGCAGTTAAGTTTCAAGATCAAAACTAAGTCGTACCTTGTGATCATCATCATTCAAATTGTTTACTTCAAATGATGTGAATAATGTCACTTGGATACCAAATGTCCAGCAAAAAGCTATTTTTATATGAAAACTCTAAGGCAATATCCTTAATCTGTTATGTTAACTTATTTTAATTATTTAGCATGAATATGGAAGGAGAAAGTATGAGACTGCTACAAAATACACAATTGTTTAGATTTCATTCAAAAATCGTTTTTTATATCGAACATTATCAGCAGGATATCCTGATGATGATGCTAGTTAAAACATCAAAAACGCAATATAATAATGAGTTTTGAATAAAATGTATTTTGTAGTAATCTTATACTTTCTTCTTTCATATTTAAAATTAGCTGCTATTCCTTCTTCGCTCTTACGAATATGGACTTCTTCTTCTTGAACAAGACGAGGAGTTGAAGACGCCGTACATGGTAAGCGATAAAAAGATCATGAAATATGATGTACCGTCCTAACAGAACGCAGACGGCTTCTGCTAATAATACTACATAAGCCGACAAAGATAATTAAGAAGAAATAATTGGTGCACCAACAAAAAACACGCTCAGTTCTAAATTGTAAGGCGTGCTGGCGATGAGGACACAAAATATAAGAGGATTGCATTAATAAAGGCCATTAAATATGTAAATAGTTCATTTTAAAAAAATGATATTGATGAAGACAAACAGTTCACTGTCATATTCGATAACGATTTAAAAAAACATTCAAACCGATCAACAAAGATTTTCATTGCATGTTTTCATCAACACATTAATAAATAATTTCTTGTTCTACATGTACATTTTTGATTTTTTCAATTATATAGCATTTCAGTGTATTTTCAATAAACAATATAAATCCGATTATCATTGTTAAAACTAATGCCATAATTGCCATATATAAAATTACTCTAGAACGAATGGATTCCAATTAAATTATTATGTCTAATTAGTGTTCAATCTACAGCATAATTTAATAGATTACACGACAAATTGACTGTGTGCCATCGAAACTGAAAAATTTTAAAAGTAAAAACGGCAAGCATTTTTTTCAGCGTTAAAGTGGTACAATTTATTGATAAAAGTGCCATGCGTTGTGACGGATCACAGATTTTATAGCATTGTAACGCGTTAACAGGTGCGGTTTCGTTGTACGGCGTTAAATAGTTCAAATAGCGCGCTTTAACGAAATATCTTATTTCTTGCGTTGTTGCACGTTAATTCTTCGTAAATAATATGTTGTCTAACGTACTTTAACGAGATAAAATTTATTAATTATTTCCTCAACCGTCGAAAGAAGAACAAAAGCAGATAGATACTACAGCTTTTCAGTACAGCCTTAAAAAGAAAAGAAACGATTTTTGTCGCAGCTCTAGTGTGCGTATATTATCGTCCACTGTGTTTATCCTTCGTTCTCATTTAACGTATATAATAGATATACAATACAAGTCGATTAGTCATTTCTTCACTTTTTAACGTAGTGCAAAAAGAGTATATCTTTGTCAGCGTTTACTTTGTTTTGTTACAGTTAATGGAAATATACTAACTATTTGACTATTTTCATCGGTAAGTACACAGCAATTTTCTAGAGAAGACGAGCATTCAGACAGGAAAATTAATTTTTTTGTCTCACAGTTGAACTGTTTTCAGAGGATGCTAGACTGGGCTCTAGCAACTCTAGCAACGAACTGATTCGAGTATCAGGTATCTATAGATACATATTTACTAGAAGTCTTAGTGCGAATGTTTTCAACTTTTGCCTACAAAACTTACAGATGAAATCATCCCGCTCACTTCTATTCTGAGATCCAATGGCAGTAACGTTTCGGTCACAACTGAAAAATATACGGATGAAGAATCTAAAGAGATACATCTGAGAAACTTTTCACCCGCAAAAACAATATCACACTTTAAATAAGCAAATTAATAATAGTTCAACTTTGTCACATTGAAATGAAATGGAGTTGGTACTACCTTCGGAAGGTAGCGAAGGGTGTTGCAACAGAATATATTTTTAGGGCGTCATAAGCCATTCTGATCTTTATCTCACCATAGCACAAATTGTTTTCACTATAGCGCCATCAATTTTTTTTAACAAGAAAAGTACCTGGGTAACGCACTTTATTGTCCACAAAAACCGGACTTTAACACGCTATTAACGCAATGTAAAAACCTCATGGGTTACCTCAGAGGC